CGCCCTCTTTTCCCAAAAGAGGGTCGCTTCCGATATGGCATAAGAAGCTTAAACAGCTGGTTGCCAGTCCCCAAAGGCGGTTTTTAGAGGGTATCACTTAGGTTCCCCCGGTAGGCAGTGAGTCCCTCATAACCACGATAGACCGGCTGTCGTGGTATGCGTGCATTTTCCGCCTCCCTACATATAGGGTAGCCCTTTCCAATTCTAATAGCTACCGCGAATACACCGCCGCATATATTACCAGACATTCTCATCTCACCTTTTTATCTTTTCTATCCGTGGTACGATTCCACGGAGTTGATTGTGTGTTATGCTTTTGATTTTAAATTAATTTTTTTTCTTTTTAATTTCTATAAACATGGTAAGCTTCTAATAATAAGCTTCTAATAATCTGAATAATCGCAAAAATCACCACACATGGCAGCCAGAATACCGACCATAAAATCAGATACACTCGTATTTGAAGCTGTTCACCGTGACAAGTCAGGGATTCATATCTGCCGTAAACGAGATCGTTATACTGCCATTTCTCAGAAGCCATAAAATCTTCTTGACATTTCTCACATTTGTCTCTTTAAATGTACTTAAGCTTATATTTTGATATGGTAACAAAGAGGCGATCAACAATTGCCAGTATATTCTTTAGAAAATACACTCAAGAAACGCGGGCTTTATTTCTGCCGGCACCTACTCGCCCGCCAAGCGTGGAGAGTTAGCCCATTCTTGATAAGCCTTGTATCTAATGAGATAAGCATAAGACGGACATGATTAAATGATATACGTTTTTTGATTTAAAAGTATGCTTTGTTTATAGAATAAAAGTGACAAAAAGCACAAAGTCCACCTGATGGTAAGTGGATACTGTAGCACATAGACATTCTACATTTATACTTTATTAAGAATCAAAATACAGACGCGACTGAGTTGGAATGTCTCGTTTCCAGTAAAAAAGGATCCCCGGTACTCTACATTCACCATACGTAACACAGCTGTATTAAGCTATTTAATGCTGGTATTCTGTGAGAGTGTGATCCTTCCTTGTGTGAGGCGACGTGCTGTAACCACTATAGAGCTGTGGCGTGGCTCTACCAGGTATCGAATTTGTAATACATTAACGCCTTTGCAAAGTTCATAGCAAATTATAGAAAAGTCTTTTTTGCGATCCCTACCTTGTCACTTAGTAATATAATATTACGTCGAGAAAATGTAGAGAATGTAGAGGCTCATGTGCAGCAGTGTACTTTTATGTGCTATCATCATCATCATCATTACAGCCCTTTACAAGTCCACTGCTGAACATAGGCCTCCCCCAAGGTATGCCACAAAGCACGGTCCTGAGCCACCTGCATCCATCGACTTCCTGCATGTCTTACCAGGTCGCCACTTCATCTAGTGGGGGGGTTGCCCTACACTTCGTCTACCGGTACGAGGCTGCCAGTCGAGAACCTTTTTCCCTAACGGTTGTCGGTTTTTCGAGCTATATGGCCGGCCCATTGCCACTTCAGCTTACTAATCCGTTGGGCTATGTCGGTCACTCTGGTTCTACTGCGGATATCCTCATTTTTAAGTTTATCACGCAAAGAAACTCCGAGCATAGCCCTCTCCATAGCTCGCTGAGCGACTTTGAGCGTCCTCATACGGCCAGCAGTGAATGACTACGTCTCAGTTCCTTATGTCATCACTGGCAACACGCACTGGTTGTACAACTTACTTTTCAGGTTTTGAGGTATACCTGAAGAGAAGATGTGTCGTAATTTCCCGAACGCTGCCCAGCCGAGTTGAATACGTCGATTGACCTCTCGGTCGAAGTTGGACTTACCTAGCCGGACTATTTGTCCCAGGTAAACGTACGCGTCAACAACTTCGAGCATAGTGCTCCCAACAACTACCGGCATAGGTGTGACATGGACATTAAACATGATCTTTGTTTTGTCCATGTTTGTCTTAAGACCTATCCGTTGGCAGACACTATTGAGGTCATTGAGCATAGTGCTTAAGTCCTCCAGCGATTCTGCCATAAGGACTATATCGTCGGCAAATCGAAGGTGAGTGATGTACTCGCCATTGATGTTAATACCGTATCCTTTCCAGTCCAGTAGCTTGAAAACGTCTTCCAATGCAGCAGTGAAGAGTTTCGGGGAAATAACGTCACCCTGTCTTACACCTCTCTGGAGTTGGATAGGTTTCGTACTCTGGTTCTATACTCGGATAGCCATCGTAGCCCTACTGTACAAACACTTCAGCACTTCGATATACTGACAGTCAACTTGGCACCACTGAAGAGACTGTAGCACCGCCCAAATTTCGACGGAATCAAAGGCTTTCTCATAGTCCACATACGCCAGGCAAAGTGGCAGATTGTACTCTTCGGACTTCTGTACAATTTGCCGAAGGGTATGTACGTGGTCTATGGTACTAAAGCCTTTTCGGAAACCGGCTTGTTCGGGAAGCTGGAAGTCGTCGAGTCTGCGTGCGAGACGATTCATAACGACTCTCGAAAACAGCATGTAGACGCGGCTCAGAAGGGATATCGGTCTGTAGTTCTTCAAGAGAGCGTTGTCACCTTTCTTAAAGAACAAGACCACCGCACTTCCGCTCCATGCCTCCGGAGTAGTGCCACCATGGAGGACGGAATTAAAGAGCCTCTGAAGGACTTCAAGTACCGCTTTCAGAAGCTCCGCTGTAATTCCATCCTCGCCTGCAGACCTGCCGTTTTTAAGGTGGTGGAGAGCCATTCTAATCTCGCTCAGACTGACGTCCGGGATATCATCGGAATAGTGTCGGATAAGACCCGCTCTTGGATCGGTACACACACTTGCGTGTGGCTCCAACAATGATGTGTACAGCTGCCCATAGAACCTCTCAATCTCACTCAGAATCTCAGGTGTCTCGGAAAAGATGCTGCCATAATCAGTCTCCAGCTTTGACAGTTGGCTCTTACTGGCAGAAAGATCTCTGGCAAAGACTCTGGAGCCCTGGTTCCGCTCAATCGCTTCTTCAATACGAGCAGTATTAAATTTGCGTAAATCTCGCCGCATGCATTTGGAGATCTGTTTGTTCAGTTGCCTGTATGCTGTCAAATCTGTTGACGATTGCAGCCTCATCTCCCGTCTAAGAGCCATGACATTAAGAGTGTGATCGGAGAGTTTTTGTGTTCTTCTGCGGCGGGTCCTGCAGAACTTTGCTCCGACCGCATGGACAGTTTCCACGAGCTTGTCATTCGTATCGTCCACTGCATTGCAATTTTCTAGGCACTGAAAGCGGTTACGTAACTCGAGCTGAAAGGTTTCGGGATTCTGGATTAGAGCACGAGGGGGACGGAGCGTTGACTTCATTAGACGAGACCTCTCCAACTTAACATTTAGGTTCAGTGTGCCTCTAACCATTCGGTGATCGCTGCCAGTTTTCACCATTGCGATCACTGAGACATCACTGAACAGTTGGCGTCTGGTCGTCATAATGAAGTCAATCTCATTTTTTGTCAAACCATCGGGGCTCGACCAGGTACACTTCCTGTGGGCTTCTGGCAGAAAGAGTTCATCATAAAGAGTCCCTCTTTCTCCATGAAGTCGGCAAGCTGCTGGCCCCTACGGTTCCGTTGCCCTACTCCAAATTTCTCTATCTTCAGCTCACCGCTTTCTCTTGTGCCTACTTTTGCGTTGAAGTCTCCCACCAACACCGTGTAGCGGGTTTTGGAGGAATGCATGGCTCTAGAAATATCCTCATACATTTCCTCCACCTCCTCATCGGGATGTGCCAAGGTTGGTTCGTAAACCTGTATGACCTTCAGCGAATACCGTTTGGTGATTCTGAGTATCAGGTACGCGACCCTCGTCGACACACTCCCAATCTTTACAACGTTGTTGACGAGAGACTTGTGGACGATAAATCCGACACCTCCTTGGGACAGATGGTCGCACTCCCGGTGATAGAACAAGTTGCCGGACTCGAGGATTACCGTGTCCTCCCCCTCTCTTCGGACCTCGGATAACCCAATAATATGCCAGCGCTACTTGTCTACCTCCTCTTCCAACTCCAGTATCTTCTCGTCAGTCCTCAGGGTGTGTGCGTTATATGTTGCCAGGTCGAGTCGTCGTAGGTGGCAACCGAACCTCCACCGGAGATTGTTAGCACCCCCTGTGTTATGTGCTAATGATGATAAAAAGATTCATTGCAGAGATGTGTCGTGGCGCTCTGGGCTAACAACCTCACTCAGCTTAATGCTGCAGCCAAGCCCATAGTGGTAGGTATTAAGACGACGCATCGAAAATGTGGCTACAGGCTATCGCCGTACTGATCCGAGTGAATACATAATTTCTGTAAAAACTTAAAAAAACGCCGTTATAAGGTCTAAAATTGCATAACGCCCGCGACGATTAAGAGTGGTTAGAAATTGTCAGAATCGTAAAATATTTTTTGAAATTATTGATTAAAGTAATCAAAATAATGAGCAACTAAATTACGAATATTGATGTTATGAATATATTTGAGTGATTCCCAAGCATATAGATTAAGTAATTTCGTTGTTATTTCAACTATAGTGATTTTTTAGAGGTGTTTTCGAAAATGATTATGATCGAGTCAAAATTATACAATCGTGTTTTGACATGAATTTATCTAGGTATATCAAAATTCCACTTTCGTTAGTGGTGTCATAGTCCTATACTATTCGATGAAAGGAGGTGCATTTTTTTCCGGTGTCGCCTTAACGGGTGTGAGCGGCGGATGACACGTTTGTGACAAACGAACCAGTTACTGAATATAAGTTTGAAAGTAAAATACAATACGCGCCGCACAAGATTGTGTCTCGTAAGTTAGCTACAAAGTCGGCTATTTATGGGCTGGTCAGGTCGAGAAGGTCTTAAGATATGTATTAGTAAATATCGTGACCCAAAAAAATGTACAAATTACCTGTTGGTAATATAAGGGAACAAATTCTTATTTTGTCATAGCATATTCTCCAAAGAATATACTTATTTCTACTTAAACAATATATTTACCTCATTTCCATTGAAAATTGCGCCAATTTCTTCATATGGCTTGCGAACTTTTGGTGCCTTTGCGGTATCTGCCATTATATAAGATTACGTAAAATTTTTAAAAAAATCTTGGGAATTTTGACAATATTAAACATTTAATATTTTTTTGTGAATTGACGTTTTATTCATAGAGTATTGAAGTCTTTATCGGTTTTATTTATAGAGTATTAGACAACTCTAACCTATGGCACAACATTAAAAAATATCTTGGTACCGCACCGACTTCTACTATAGAGACCTTACCATATCTATTAGCGAATACCTACATTGTTTAATAAATAAATTTATTAAACAATGTAGGTAGGTTATATAGGTTTCATATTAAAACATGAAATATAATTAAATAATACTATGTAATACTAGCTTTTCCTCGCGGCTTCGTCAGCATGACACAACCCTATTTCGAAAAATCACAGCTTATTAACAAATAAGCTGTGATTTTTCGAAATAACAATTTCAAGACCTAAAGCATTAATTTAATATATAATTAAAGAATCACGCTGCAGATCTATCGCACAGAAGCCGTGCATTTCTTCGGAATAGAACACCTAATTATCACTGACCGGCCTATAAATTAACTAAACATCAAGTCGACGCGTAGCCCACGATTCTGAAGTTCGCCAACACGCATTGGGGCAGCGTGGCGGACACTTCATTGCCATAAAACCCTCTCCGAAATGAGGGGAGGCCTGTGCCCAGCAGTGGGACGTAAAGTAAAGTTACAGCCTATATACATAGGCTGTAACTTTACTTTTTTTATTTTTTATTGAAATTAGTGGCATGGTTTTAGGTCTCCAAGGCCTCTTACCTATTACAGCATACAACAATTTTACTACACTAATACTAATAATCTTACCAATTACAATAGCCTCTTATCATTAGCTGGACTGAGAGCCTCTAGGGAGAAAAATACTACCCGATTTTCGTGTAATTATACATGTTATAGGTCCGTGGTAGAGCCACGCTGCAGCTATATTATTGTTGTAGCACGAATAGGTCGGCTCGGCCGGGGCAGAACCACGCTCTCACAGATTACCATTGAAAAATAGCAGCTTAATACTGCTGTGTTTCGTATGGTGAGTGTAAAGATCCGGAGACCCTTTCTTACTGGAAACAAGGCATTCCATCTTAGTCCTCAGGGATGACAACGCATCTGCGTTTTGATTCTTAATCGTGGATAAATGTGGATGTCTATGGGCCACAGCATTCACTTACCATCAAGTGGACTGTGTGCTCGTTTGTCACCCTTATTTAATAAAAAAGTGTCTAAAAATTCAAATAAAAATCTTCTTTATATATTTATATATATATGTGTATTAATAAAAAAGAAAAAATCACAATATATTTTTAATACCTATGGTATTTGCGTGTTTCACATTGCCTATTTCCAGAACTTTTAAATGTTAGTACGTGTTCGTAATATTTTAATAAAAAGTATTCAATACCAGATATTTGTCATATTGCCTGTCTGAGAAATATGTAAAAAAAAATTCCAAGTCATGTGAAATTCACAAACACGCCCGGCGAACATTTCCTTAACCTAAAGCCCTATTAGAAATGAATAGGATACTTGTGCCTAGTTGTAGGATCTATATAATGCTGTAACTTTACAGTTTACGTTTATCTAAACTTGGTACCTAATTGCTGTGTTATGAAAGATGTTTATCTCCGTAAACTTCACAGACACGGGCTCATTCACTGGCGTTATTTTAGAACTTTTCGCGTGTCTTAGGATAATGAGAAATGATATTATTTAAGAATATGATTTCACCGATGACTTTTTTTAGTTGTTTTTATATCATAGGTTTAATCATATATACTTTGTTTAAAATGGGCATTTAAACGTCGTCCGTGAGTCAAATGCGGAGTGGTATATATATATAGCGTTTTAGCACTGAGAGCCGCGGATTCGAATTGGACTTACTTGGGTCTGGATGTTTGCCTTTGTACAATTTATGATTCCACCATGACAGGGGAAAATCACAGTGAGTGAGTAAAGCTTTTTTTAATTAAAAGAAACGATGCTTCATAAATATAAGCAGTCTGTCGCATTGGTTACTTTTGTATCTTTGCAACTAAATCCTGGACAGAATGCAGTTCTTTAGTCATATGACACCGCTGCTGTAAATTCTTTACTTTTTGCAGCTAGGATTTTTTTTAATAGGATAAGTGCTGGTAAGTAGTTTTGCGGTCCATAGACATCTACATCTATACTCGACTACGAATCATAATACATCTGCATTTGACGTTGATGCTCGATAGGACTAAGATGGAATGCCTAGTTTCCAGTTAAAAGGGTCTCCGGTTCTCTACACCAACCACACGAAACACAGTAGTTTACGCTGTTTTTCTGTAAGAGCGTGGCCTTTCCTCGGTCGAGGCGACCTATTCTTGCTACAACAATACTACTAGTATAGCCGCAGTATGGCTCTACCACGTATCGAATTGCGCTTTGGCGAGATTTACGAGATGCCATTAATTGAGTTGCAAAAGACATGTAAATTATTTGTTTATTATACTACTTTCTAATTAACATCAGTTGTCAAAAATTATTAGATACGTATATACGTATATAATATATATATATATATATACGTATATATATATATATATATATATATATATATATATATATATATATATATATATATATATATATATTATACGTATTACGTACTTGTATATATAGAGGTCAGCGGATAAAGAGCACACTCTTATAATCACTCCGTTTTAGTAGTAGATTATAAAGCATGCAAACGAATTTTAATATCTTACGTCGTAAAATAAAAAGTTTTCATTTCATTCGTTTTACTTAATTTTAGTGACTTCCATTTCCCTAGGCAACGTCACATCTTTCTTAAGTTTCCTATTTCATATGTGTGTTTTTTTAAATAGGTATGCTCCTGCATTTAAAATTGCAAATAACATACTACCATCATAGCTTCCATTCATTCTCGTGAAGTTGCGTAATATAGGAAGCTTACACAACATTCGACGTTGATTTCCTAAAATATATTTGTTTTTTTATTTATTGTGTCACTATTTGCCTATTTATCCGTATATCAGTGACGCAAATAGATTGGACCATTTGCTTTAACAGCATTATTAGTTCATAAATTTATTTCATCTTCTTTATTACGTGATATCAGTGGCCGCTGCAGTCTCTACCGAATTCATGGTTAATGAAGTCTAAGTTAGTATACCTCATTTGGTTGAGAGGCTACTGAAGTGCAATATAGGTATTATATTACTTCTCAGTAGTTTCTCAACTAAATCAAATACATAAGATGGATATAATATTATGTCAGAGGGTGTTATGCTTACACGATACTCATACGTTACAGATATCCAAAATTAAATACAATTTAACTATTAAATAACGTTATTTCCATTACGAAACATGATTATAGAGTTCGTCCTGTAGTAACATTACTTTTGAAGGACGTGTACTTATTGTATGATCATAGGTTTTTTTTCTTTAAGGTCAAGGTGACTTTACTTGCGTTCGTTTGTGAAATTATAACAAATCATGCGATGGTTATATAATCAGGCAGCTGGTATGATTTTGTGGTTTTCACATAATATTGTAAAGTTCCTATAATCGAAATATTTATTTAACATCAACAAAATTTAATAGTTATGAAAGCTGAACATATAAAATAATTTCTTACAAAACATACTTTAATAATAACGTACGTAGCAGAAATTTTAGCTTTAATGTAGGTATGTTTTTACTTTTAATTTAATTTTTTTTGTTATGATGTCTCAATTCCTTTTTTTGTTTAATTTCGTACAGCAACATGGTTCTGGATCAGGATCGCACTGCGTTTCCCGTGTGTCTATTCTGGTAAGAGGTTTCCTTTCAGGACCTTTAGGTGTTACTAGTTCAAGCTCCAATTTACATCGGCGGTCACCATTTGCCCCAACTTTCGCTACCTTTAATTATTCAAATTTCAAAGTTTGTTAGTAGCAATTAAAGCATCTAATTATTCATAAGGTTAAATTCGTCCGTCGTCTGTTTGTGTAAGTAACTTAAGGACTAAGAATTCCTTTTCTCTAGTAAAAAGACCATACGATACTCAGCAGTAACAGGCTAGTATTCTGTGTAAGCATGATCATACCCCGGTCGAGACAACACATCCAACCTATAACCTTAATATAGATGCAACGTGGCTCTACCACTTTTATAAAATATGTAACAATGATGGATATTATCAACATAAGATAAACGTGCCTTTAAAACAAACACATCTTTCTTTGGATGCAAAACGGATTGTGTGGCCCCTGGGCTTGGTACGTTAGTTGGCACTAAATTGCATAACCAAGGGCAGGGTGGGGCCTTTGGGTCTATTATTCTTATCTTCCCTTGGACTTGCGCCCCTTTTGAGGCCTTTATTTCCTTTTTCGTTGACATTTTCTTATTTTACATACACAATTTTGAGAGCTGTAATGAAAACATGGATCAAAAAGAATGTCATATTGACATTATTCTATTTAGTTGCTGTACTGTTTTTGACCACAGATATAGCATAAAAAATTAATGAAAAATAATAAAATTATGTGATTCTGATTACATGATTTAAGAATGAAACGTTTTTACTTATCCCTAATTAAAAATAAAAGACCGCTAAATTATTTTAAGGACAATTGTGCCGTTTGTATTTATTTATTAATTAATTTAATAGTTTTATGTACAAAGACACTGCTTAGTCCAAGTTGATATTTCTTCCAGCAGGCCAAAGAAAGAGCTGAAATGAAAGCTGTTAAATTTGTTCACAGACAATCGAGGAATGAATGATTAATGAACATATTATTTTTCTTTTTAAATAATATATCCTCGATTAAGAATCAAAACGCAGATGCTTCATAACCTCTGAGGACTTAGATGGAATGCCTCGTTACGTACGTACCTCGTACAGTAAACTAGGGTCTCCGGTTCTCTACACTCACCATACGGAACACAAACAGCCTTTAGCTGCTATTTTACGCTGGTATTCTGTGAGAGCGTGGTCCTACCCCGGTTGAGCCGACCCATTCGTGCTACAAATAATATAGCTACAGCGTGGCTCTACTACGTAAAAATACGGTAATATTTCATCGTAATATGATGAAAACTATTATTTACTTAAATTCAGATTTCACACAGTTAGTCACAGTTTCTTCACAATCAAATTACATAAATACAGTCCACTAAGCTCTCCATCTACAACAGGATAACAGTATAAAATTTATAAGGTATATCATTTAATGATATACCAGTGTGTTTATAATTACTCGAACCATTTCGAGACTTGAGCCTTTTTACTTACCTAATAAAGATCCTTTAATTTCTTAAACTCCAAGTCCAATTTCATATTTAAATCATAAAAAGCGTTATTTTCGTCACCCGCTTTGACGAATTAAAAATTAAAAAACCCATGACACTTCTAGGTTAGTTAGGCACATGGAATTCGGCATCCAGGTAGATTAGAAAAAATTAACCAAAATTATAAGTGGCCACAGATATATACAAAGTTATCGGTGCGGTTAGTTACGAGATTACTTCCAAACTAACCGTATGAATAGTTTTGTTGACAACCTCGAATTTAGTTTGTACTTTACGTGGCCCCTTTTTCCAGATATATGTTTTGGTACGATTCAATGTACATTTATAATAAATGTCTTATCTATATTTTCACGTACCTATATTTCTTGGTCTTTTTGCCTCACAAGCTACTTGCCACGTTTACCACGCTTGGTTGTGGCAATTTCTTAATTTCTAGCTGTTAAGGAAGTCGCTACCGCCCATCTATCGCCCCTTACGATACCCATAGTACGATATGTGGTAGTGGCATAGCACAGTTTATTTGTCTTTAGCTCAATAAAATACTTAACTGATTCTTAATAGAATAGTTCCGCTAGAAATAATGCTTCCTGGTGATGTGAATTGAGTATTTTTATTGAGTATAATTACAATTTATTGCAGGTACATATATTTTTGGCTTACAAGCATTTTTGATTATAGTAACGTTACAATGATAAGCACCAGAGTAAATCCCCACAACTGCTCCCTTGTAGAATCTTTTTATTGCTCAGATCTAGGTTTTGTATGAATTAATTTTTTTCATTACATCCCATCACAAGTCCACTGTTGAACATAGGCCTCCCGCATGGATTGCCACAAAGCACGGTCCTGAGCCACCTGGATACTGCTGACAACAGACACTGCACAAACTCTCCTCATGTTTTATCGGGTCATATTTCCATCTCCGCGGGATTGACCAACGATGTGCTTGCCAATTAGAGGCTGTTTCCTAAAAACCTTTGTTCCCTCCCTATTGGTTATCGATTCTGTGAGCTGTATGAACAGCCCAGCCCAGCCAGCTACTACAGGATTTTTATAGTACACACTTTTTTGATGAAAAAACGTTAATATCGTATTCGTTTATTATGTTCTAAAAATACTTATCAGAATGTAATATAAAAATTGTGGTCGTTATTATATGATGATTGATGATGATGGATGGATTATATTTTTATATAACTTAATTACAACCACGGTTATTAGTGCAACTGCTTCTGCAGCAATTAAGTGGTTTCCGTGGACAATTCGAGGATGATTTAAGTGAGTAGCAATATTGAAGTGGACAGCAACCAAGGCTGGGTCTAAATGTACGTTGGCAACGCACTACTGGACATAGTTTTAATCGGTTAAAACATGGTGAAATGCGTTTTGGATGAGCCCTGATTCGGGGCTGACTACGTGATCGTCGTGGACGCCTACGTCCAACGGGGCAAGGACGTAGACAAGGTAAGCTAAAACATGGAGATGTACACGGATTTTTATAACAAGGAGATCTACATGGACTTTTATAACAAGGAGGGGGTGGACAAGGGCTTATGCAAGGAGTTGGTGAACATCGAATACACTGCGGTAGTGGAGAACACGATCGGCTGGGCAAACATGACTTACCACAGCATGATATTTTACGGCATCGTTTACATGGTGCTGGCGGACATATTGAACGAGGGAATGGGCCGCAAGATATTTTATAAACTTTTTTATTATATTTAGCTCGGCATGGTAATGGACGACAAGCTATTAGCTTATATTTCGACTGATTGCAAGATTTTGGTCGCTTATATGACATTGTACATGGGAATCCGCTAGAACAAGGTTGTGTTCTGCATTGTGGAGGAGTCCACTCTAGCATTAATTCATTTCTTGCTAGAGGTGCTCCAGTCATTTTTCGAATGACCAGTTCAAATACCCCGCGACGAGGGTTATTTACAGTAGATACTTTGACTGGGGCTTGTTCCTCTTGAGTTGACGCTGCTATACACTTAGGACCTTGACATGGACCAAGTCCGAGTATCGGACAAGGTTGTTTTGGTGCTATCTTTATATGAGAAACTGTTATCATCAGATCCCCATTTACCGTGCCAATTGCCGGACACGGCTGTTGTGTTTTAGTTTCAATTGACACAGCCTTAGTAGTACTCATTCCTGAAGAGGGCTTTTTAGATTTTTTAGTCTGCATGGACGCTGGGCTACTTTGAGATTTTGCTTGGGTGGAAACGGTGCTTGGTTCACTGCTTTTACTTTGATCTTTTTCCACGGAAATAGTAGTTGGAGGTTCTTTTTTTAAATAGTTTCGTTACAGAGTCTTTACTTCCCATCCCCTTTTTTGACTCTGATTTACATTTTTTTCGTCCAAAGAAGTAAATTTCAGGATTTCGTATATTATTTTGTATTCCAATTACGTTATCACGGCAAAGTAATTTTTTTGTCGGGGAATACTTGTTAGTACTTGCACGGTAGTTTGGAGAAAATATTTTGCTTCTATTTATTTGTATGCATTTATTAACTGAACCTGTAGCTTGTGTTCCAGAACATTGAAGGTTACAACGATCACCAAATAAGGTCATGTACACCGTGGTTTCGTTATTACCAAAAACCCGACTATCATCTTCTGAGCTTAAAGTGTCCAAACAATTTGTGGAGGACTTCAAAGTTTGACTCCAAAAGTAGTCTATCGTTCTTGAAAAGGAAACACTTCTACGCTTAGACCTGATAGTGCTAACAGTGCATACAGAACTCGTGGAAAATAAATCGGCGGTGAGTGTAATTGGTTTTGTCAGTTCGTTTGAAAAATCTATATTACTAGAATCTGTTAAACATTGTGAACTCTCATAATTAGATGTAGTTTCACTTTCTGCCTTGAACCTCTCATCTGTTTTGTATAAATCTAAAATAAGCGGCTCTATGTCATCGCTCGTTATGTTGTTCTTATTTACCTCTACATTATCTTCATTACGGGGCAAACTCAGCAACGTACCTGGGATGAGATTTTTAATTTCTGATGAATATCCTATAAATAAAAAGTAAGATAAAGTGTGTATACATTCTTAATAAAACTTAAATTATAGATGCGGTATTTTATTTGCTTGAGGTTAATACGGTCCGTGCGTTCTGTATTGTCCGGGTGCAGATATAGTTTTTAGGAACAAAATGGCGACTAGAGGAGAGGGAGGGTGGGCGGTAACTACGACTAGAGACATATTGCGCGGTAACAATCTATATATATATATATATATATATATATATATATATATATATATATATATATATATATATATATATATAATGTTCATTTGTGTGTAAATGCAACATGTTGTTTTAAATACACTAATTAAAATGGTGTGCATTAAAGATTTTATTGAAAAATTGAAGTTAATATACTATTTTTTGGTTACAGAAAGAATTTTTTGTCCCCGCTAATATCGTGTTTTTACTATATATTCAAACTATTTATTGTTATTATTAATCATTAGATACTATCATTTTATTGAAATACGTAAAAATTATATACTTATAATAATAATTTTCAATTTATTCTATAATCGATATAGACAAAACAAACTGTTTTCCTAAGCAATCTTAGGAGCGGATATGAAATGGCACATATCTATCGACTAGCGTCTGTACATGCGCGATTGTTTGGGAAAGCCAACTTCAGCTTGGCTAATATAAAACGCGCGGACTTTACAAAAGTTTGTTTTTAGGTTATTATTTCTATATGTATAGTGTTTTATTAATTTAGTTACAACACGTTCAGTTGGCCATTTCCCAGCAGTCTTAACAAATAGTCTTACTGGTAAATCTTAATTGATAATTTTCGCCCCGATAGCATTAATTATTGGATAGATACGATATCTAGTAAATATAAATAGTATAAGTGTTCAAAATAAACGTTGAAAATGATAATGACACCTATTCCACTGCCACTTTCACTTTTATGCTTTCCTAATTCTATTCCTACTAATTACATGATGATTTAAATATTTTATATATAAACCACTAAAGATGTATTTGATAAAAATACTACTTAATTTTATAATGTTGGATAAATGTGGATTATTTTTTTCTCACTGTTTTTAACAGTAGGTTTATTTGGAACGTAAATTCCAAGTAAGATATATTTTACGCCATTTAATTTTATTATTAGAGTATCGACTGGTAACTTGGTAGCGAATTTCTAAAACAGCAGTCAGTTTGGAACTTGAGTTTTTGCTACGGTTAATACGAAGGAGCGGGGGCTTGAAGAGATTGGGCTAAATATTATTTTACTCCTAGCACATTAAGGTGATGTGGGCGTAAAAGGCAGATTTTTCACGCTTTATAGGTGAGCAGAACAGCAATTTTTTGTCATTAAAAACTAAGAATCTACATTTTTTAATTAATTACGAAAGTTAAAGATTTTCCTTAGTGAATTATGTTGGCCAAAACACGATTGACACATTTTGGCTCGATAGTAAAAGATCGCAAATTTTCCTTAAAAATCTACAATTTTAGGTACGTCCACTAAGTGAAAAAGCTGTTTTATTAGAATGTAATAAAATCAATTTCAATTAAATTCAGTCCGTGTGTTCCTCGGTAAAACCGTGAGTGAATTATGTTTTCTTTTTCAATAAAAGAGTATGTATAATTTTAAAAAGAAATATCAAATAAATATTGTGCGATCAAATAGCGCGCGGGCCGACCAAACAGTCCATAAAAAGCGTGAAAAATCTGCTTTTGGCGCCTAGTTCACGCTCTACGCTAACACGCTCTGAGGCGTTTCATCTTAGTCCTCACAGATGACAACGCTGATCTGTGGCACGTACTGTCTTGGCTTAAATTCGGCTGCAGATGTCCATAGATTGCAGAAGCTACTTCCATCAGGTGAACTGTAAGTTTGTCACTTCACTTTTATAAAAAAAACATAGGTAACTAAATAAAAATAAAATATTTTGGCAAAATTTGTATGTGAATTTAAAATAAGAAAAAAATTTTTAAAACACGATTTGGTTGCTCCAAAATTAATTTAGGAAAACAATATATATCACATTGATAACATTTCAATTGTATTACAATTCACATTCAGTCGGTTTCGTCATGCAGCAACCTTGACAGCTAGAGGTGTATTGAGCAGTGCGGTTGTCAGTTACTGGCACTGTCTTTTTGTGCGAAACAACCGGTGTTACAAATTGATATTCAAGTTTTGATTTCCGTCCGGGCATCTCAATTGTCTTGCCAATACGCAACTTTATTACTTGCTTAGGAAAGTCATAAACAACCCCATGGTAGTTTTCTGAAGTAGTATGTGATAACTGACCAGGATCATCTCTAGCGATATCACCAACGCCATCCGTTGTATAGTTGAAATGTGCTCGCTGTTTGTGTCCGGTACCGCAGGAATCCGAAGGCATTTGGAAAATAATCTTGTTACCCGGTGGACAGCAATCTGCACAATTTTACATCTTAACTTAACTGTTATTAAAAAGGATAGGTACAGAGATTACTTAAAAAGTTATTATATTACATATTAATGTTTCTTTTTTCCTTTGAATTTTTTAAGGCGCCCAATATAACAATCGCAGTCTGGATCGGACTGTATTCGAGCATTCATCTTTTGAACTGGTAGTTTTTTATCAGGACCTTTAGGTGTAACTAACTCAAATTCTAGCTTGCATTTTTTTTCTCCCTCGATAGCAGTTTTAGCTACTTTTAAAACAAATGAATCTTTATTTGGAATTTCTTGATATTTATTGTCTCCACGCGCCAAAGCTGTTTGCTGACCGTGCTTAGAAGCTTGGATACATCCTTCTGTAGTACAAGTAAATTGTGTGTTAGCGAGTTGTGCTCCATTACAACATATTGCTTCACTGGGCATTGCTAAACTTATTTGGTTTTTTCCACATGGTGGCAGACAGGATGTATCATCAGTGCCTTTAAGATATGGACTTTGCATCGCGCAGTGAGTTTGACTAATCTTCTTTATAATGGATGAGGTAGCTGGTACTTTAATTTTAAGTTCATTTCCGCCCAAATTTGTGCCTATTTCTTCAAATTGCTTACTGCGACCTGGTTACCGAGAAATGGGGCAACTAAGATAATACTTACTTTAATCACTCTTTTAAAAGTATTGATTATTTAATTGAGATATTGTATCTTAGACCGAGGTAAAATTAAAATATAAAAATTAGAACATTATTTATAGGCATAAGTATGTTCTCACCTTTTGGTACATGAAGACAATATTGATCCATATTTCTACAAATCATGTTTTGTTTTACTGTAGGTTTAGGACCAGAGCAATAACATGGATCATCAGATTCTTGGCATGGCATACTGTTGAATGGATCTCGAGCTGTAATGCACATTTAATGTTATAATACATTAATTTTTTTTTGAAATGTTAGTAAAAAAATAAATACGCCACACATGATTTATGGTCGTACCTGGAGGACAAATTCCAAAGCCGCCGACATTGCTTGCAGTACAAGACGGTTGAATCGATTTTCCAGTTCCACTTGCATCTACCAGATATCTCGTAGCTCCGCATACACACGGGTCTTGAACAGTCTGATAGTCTCTTTGGGGATGACATGATCTATCTATGGGTGCTGCAGTTCTATCGGTTTCCAATTTTGTTGAAACACCAGCCCCTTGAAATTTCGTGACAATCAATTTTCCGAAACAAGAAATTCGTAAGAACATAATAATTTCTCCTGTTTCAGCACCATCTGGACCGACGATTCGAAATGCATCCTTAAGGGCTTGGTAACTGACTCCACTTGGATCTTCAATAAATTTATTGCGAGCTTGAACAAATTCTTTCGTCATATCAATGGTAGCTTCACCCATCACAATTTTAGTAGGTAAGCATCCACATGGCAGGGACTTGTAAACAGTTATTTTAATAGGAAATTTACTCATAGCTTTTGCAATGTCAGCTTCTTTAAGAGAAAAAAGACATGATTTTCCAATGTTAAAAGTTTTTGAAAAAGGTCCTCCACTCTTGGTAGCACTGGAACCCGGATCATCATCGCAAATTTCAAAGGGTTCGACTGAAAGACATTCAATATTCACACAAGTTCTAAAATCTTTATCTGTGAAACACGGACTTTTAATAAAGGCAATTTTATCTATAAGTACCTCCAGCAGAAAAAGACTGTCATCTTGCTTAGCCATCGTAGATACAATTAGGGGATGGGAAGTACTAGGTATATTTTATTCTTTTATGATTAGATAAACATTCTTGGAATTTTGACAACAGCTAATGGTTTTAACAAAAGAATTCTGTCACTTTAGACAGAAGTAAAATTTGTACGTTATTTTTTTCATAAATATTTCTTCGAACTTTTTGCGCATAAATAATGGTTTTCATTTTCATTATTTTTAATTTGTTCATAAAAACGACAATGAATGTTATAGCGACTACAATACACTTTTACTTGGTAGAGCCATGCTGCAGTTATGTTAGTAGTTTAGTTGTAGCACGAATGGGTCGGATCGACCAGGGAAAGATCACAGAATGCCAGCGTAAAATAGTAGCTTAATGCTGCTGTGTTTCGTATGGTAAATGTAGAGAACTGGAGGTCCTTTTTACTGGAAACGAGGCATTCCATCTTAGTCCTCACGGGTGACAACGCATCTGCATTTTGATTCCTAATCGAGGATAGATGTGGATGTCTGTGGACCACAGCAACCACTTACCATCAGGTGGACTGTGTGCTCGTTTGTCACCCTATCCTATAAAAAACACACAGTATTATGACAAAGCTGTCTATAAACTACAGCTAGCTAGTTCGGCAGACATTTTTAAGAACTATCCGGAAAGCGACTCAGCCTGACATATCATGGGTGCTATTTTTTTTACCAGCATTATGTTATGTTATTACGACTTAATCAAAATCGCCAACTTTTTTCTACAATCATTAAAATACGTGAATATAATTTTTTTTTAAAACATGATTGCGGGTATATCATCAGAATAGCTACATGGTATATTGTTATTGTATTGTCATCGAAAATGTAGGTTTAATATCAGCTCAATCTGATGTTAGCAACATAAGACATACTCGTAAGACTAGTTAATTAAAAGTCACACGCACACAAATACGCCCACACACACATATATATATATATAATGTAGATGTTTACACTTTACATTCTTTTATCACTATAGTTAAATTAGTTGCAAAACATGATGAATTTCATTGGTAAATTTATGGCACGATGTTTATTTGCTACATTTGATTCATATCATTGGTCCCATTTAATATTGATTGGCATCATAAAATAAATGTTGATATCATTTTTACGTTTGAGTAGACTAAAATTTCTTAAATGAAGTTCTATAATGATTTCTTATATTTACTCAAATACTACACATGGAATAAAATGCATTTATTTTTGTGAACATACATCAAATTTTCATAGATATACTGAGAGGCCAAAGTTAATATATTTATTTCTTTAAATTTTTCTCTAAGAGACTCTATCGGTTTAAGGTTGTAAATAGCTCTAATGGCCCTCTTCTGCAAAACAAAAATAGTTTCTAAATCAGCCGCATTCCCCTATAGCAAAATGCTATGGAAATAACTGAAATAAACTAATCTAGCTGTCTCGGCTTTTTTACAGCATAAGCTGCAGAGCTTAGTCTGCTTGCTAGTTTAGATATATGGGGACCCCACTGAAGCTCAGCGTCGAGAGTGATGCCAAGAAATCCAGAGGATTCAACAGGACTCAGTTCTTCCCCATTTAAAAACACTTTGGTACTCGGATTATTAACATTTGTTGTTGTAAATTTAATACATTTAGTTTTATTGCCGTTTAAATGTAGATTATTAACGTTAAACCAATGCACTAATTTCGATATAGCATTATTCACTTTGTCACATTTAAATGATTGACGTTTAACTTAAAAATCAAGGAAGTATCATCAGCAAATAATACTATATCATGATTATCCCCTACAAGGGAAGGTAAGTCATTAATATACACTAAAAATAGGAATGGGCCAAGAATTGAGGGACCCTGAGGGACACCCATATGTAGGGATCATCCGGAATATACATAATGTCAAGTGTTTTGTTTTTCATTTTATATAGTCCGTCTCCTTGCGCGGGCAGAGGGCATGGCAAAATGTATCTTGCCCACATAAAATTTAGGTCTTGCGCCGCCACTGATAATCGTGCAAAGGCTTTTTTTCAGTTTTTATGAATTTCATTTAAATAAATACAAGAGCCGTGTAGTAGGCCGTGGGATGAAATTTTACGTGCTGACTTATCACGTGTCCGTTGAAGTGGTGAACAATAACTTCAAGGGGAAACCTAGATGTCCGAGTAGTTAAAGAGTATTTTTATTGTAATTTGAAGTTTGTAGCTATTTGAATTTACCACGTTCGTGAGGAAAAAATCGCGAGGAAACCTGCATATCTGGTTCTCCAGTTGAAGTCATATCGTGTTGGGGTCAGCGCAATGAAAACTTTTTTGTATCAAAATTTGACTGCAGCCTGTGCCCAGTAATGACGATGACGAGATGTAGGCTGCTGCTTTTTTACTTTTAATGGGGCAATTATCTGTGCGTAGAACTCATCATCGTCATCATTACAGCCTATCAAATGTCCACATAGGCCTCCCCCATAAATTGTCAAATAGGCTGGATACTTTTTCGCTGCCACAACAAGGCGAACATTTTTCTACTCCCGTACATGAGTGTGGGCCTTCCACTCTTTCACTATGAATAGATCTTCATTTGGAATTAAAATAATTTCAAGAATTTTATTACGTGTTTAATTTTAGCTTTTTTAATACTTAACAGCACCCGTGGTCACGGGGGGGGGGCTGAGGTATTTAACGTTCTGATGTCATAGTTAACGAAGGCTATAAGTCTTGCAGTAGTCGGGTTGGATTTGAATTAAAATTTTATTAATTATGGGACCCCAAGCAGACGGTAGCACGCTGACATGTTCTCTATTGAAATTAGGATTTTTTTTTAATTTCAATAGCCTTGCAAATCATCCTTGGTAGAAGTTGCAGTTCTTTGGCGAGGGTATCAGATCTGTTATAATTGTTGGGACGATACTGAACAGACTTCCCGGAACGTCGGTGCTTCACATCAGCGATATGTTCTTTTACGCGGTTTTTTATGGATCTTTCACCCAAAGATGATTAAAGAATCCATGTAAAAAAGGTATAATCAAAAGCGATAAAATTCGTAAATTTCATTTTATTCCATGTGTAGTATTTGCCTAAATATAAGAAATCATTATAGGACTTCATTTAAGAAAGTTTAGTCTACTCAAACGTAAAAGTATATATACGTATATATATATATATATTTTTTTTTTTAAGAAAGGTCAATTGTCTTGGAAGAATGTAAAGTGTAAAATGTAGATGTTATACACTTTACATTCTTTTATCACTATAGTTAAATTAGTTGCAAAACAATGATGAATTTCATTGGCAAATTTACGGCATGATGTTTATTTGCTATATTTGATCCGTATCATTGGTCCCATTTAATATTGATTGGCATCATAAAATAAATGTTGATATTATTTTTACGTTTGAGTAGACTAAAATTTCTTAAATGAAGTTCTATAATGATTTCTTATATTTACTCAAATACTACACATGGAATAAAATGCATTTATTTTTGTGAACATGCATCAAATTTTCATAGATATACTGAGAGGCAAAAGTTAATTTATTTATTTCTTTAAATTTTTCTCTAAGAAACTCTCTCGGTTTAAGGTTGTAAATAGCTCTAATGGCCCTCTTCTGCAAAACAAAAATAGTTTCAATCAGCCGCCTTCCCCTATAGCAAAATGTACGGGAGTAGAAAAATGTTCGCCTTGTTGTGGCAGCGAAAAAGTATCCAGCCTATTTGACAATTTATGGGGGAGGCCTATGTGGACATTTGATAGGCTGTAATGATGACGGTGATGAGTTCTACGCATAGATAATTGCCCCATTAAGAGTAAAAAAGTAGCAGCCTAATCTCGTTTGTCATTACTGGGCACAGGCTGCAGACAAATTTTGGTCAAAAAAGTTTTCATTGCGCTGACCCCAGCACGGTACGACCTCAACTGGAGAACCAGATATGCAGGTTTCCTCGCGATTTTTTCCTCACGAACGTGGTAAATTCAAATAGCTTAACTTTAACTACTCAGACATCTAGGTTTCCCCACGAAGTTATTGTTCACCACTTCAACGGACACGTGATAAGTCAGCACGTAAAATTTCATCCCACGGCCTCCTACACGGCTCTTGTATTTATTTAAATGAAATTCATAAAAACTGAAAAAAGCCTTTGCACGATTATCAGTGGCGGCGCAAGACCTAAATTTTATGTGGGCAAGATACATTTTGCGAGGTCCTCTGCCCGCGCAAGGAAACGGACTATATAAAATGAAAAACAAAACACTTGACATTATGTATATTCCGGATGGGCCCTACATATGGGTGTCCCTCAGGGTCCCTCAATTCTTGGCCCATTCCTATTTTTAGTGTATATTAATGACTTACCTTCCATTGTAGGGGATAATCACGATATAGTATTATTTGCTGATGATACTTCCTTTTTTTAAAAAAAAACGTCAATCATTTAAATGTAACGAAGTGAATAATGCTATATCGAAATTATTGCATTGGTTTAACGTTAATAATCTACATTTAAACGGCAATAAAACTAAATGCTTTAAATTTACAACAACAAATGTTAATAATCCGAGTACCAAAGTGTTTTTAAATGGGGAAGAACTGAGTCCTGTTGAATCCTCTGGATTTCTTGGCATCACTCTCGACGCTGAGCGTCAGTGGGGTCCCCATATATCTAAACTAGCAAGCAGACTAAGCTCTGCAGCTTATGCTGTAAAAAAGCCGAGACAGCTAGATTAGTTTATTTCAGTTATTTCCATAGCATTATGTCATATGGAATTTTGCTATAGGGGAATGCGGCTGATTTAGAAACTATTTTTGTTTTGTAGAAGTGGGCCATTAGAGCTATTTACAAACTTAAACCGAGAGTCTCTTAGAGAAAAATTTAAAGAAATAAATATATTAACTTTGGCCTCTCAGTATATCTATGAAAATTTGATGTATGTTCACAAAAATAAAGGTAGTTTTAGTAAAAAAAGTGACATACACTCTGTAAATACTAGGAACTAACACACGCTGGTGCTA